AGAACATTTTCTCAGAAAGTAATTTCAGCTGCTTGACTTTGAATGGTTAGCCATTTTTACTGGATATGAACTCACATAACAGTGGATTTCTGAGGCAATATAATGTTTTCTGTTATCTCTTGCATGGATATCTTGCACATTACAACTCTACATCAGGTCTTGTGCTGTGTGAGTCATTTATAAGGGGCAAACTTCAATAGAAGCCCAATGATTGAAATGCAAATTGGGATATAATACCTACAGACTGCCAGAAATAATGCAAATTGAGTCCACTTTAAGGGTTAGGGTTAATGCTAGGGAATCAGGGGAATTGTTGTTGTTTTTCCTGAGACATTGAGCCTTCTCTGTCAGAGAACTCTGGTGCCACAATAAAATACAGTTCCCATGATTCCCTAACCCTGACCCTTAAAGTGGACTCAATTTGCACTATTTCTGGCAGTCTGCAAAGGCCCAAAGATTCTTACCAATTCAGGTTACTGGCACACAAAGCTCAGTATTGTGCTTATTTACCAGTAGCAGAGTTTCAGTCAGAGGACTCTTCTAGATTTATTTATAGAGAAGAGAAATTGAGCCTGGGATTGTCTATAGATGAAGCACATATAATCAACCACTGATTTAAAGCCTTTCCTTTTTTGCCAGGAATGTTTTGCATTACCCAATCTTTTTTTCTTCTTCTCTGGGTCTGCATTCACTTTTTCCCCAAATGAACATTGGTGATCTTGCTACTTGGTAGCTCTTCCTAAGAGTTGTTAGGTAGAGACTTACTGGAAGAAGAATTACTCCAGTTAGTAAAGGGCTGTTCAGACCTATTCCACTTCATTTGGGTCCAGTATGGGAGAAAAGCAGGATATAAAATAATTAAATAATTTAAAAAATAATAATTTTTGGTGTAAAGGGTGGGATATGAAATGAGCATAATAGATAAATGTAGTCCATAGAAAGTGGAATTATTTAAAGTATTTCTAGCACTGAAACTGTAGAGTTTCTCTGTGTCTGTTTGCCAAAACAAAACTATAAGCAGGTCTCTCCAGAACTATTTTAGAGTAGACCGGGTAGCTCAAACCTTTGTATAGTCATTGGTAGATTACGTAGATTGTTGTGACCTAATCCTCTCATAACTGAGAAAATCCAGCAGCTTTTAATAAACATTTTTAAAAAATTAATAGCCCAAGTGGAAGAGAATAAGGATGCAGTGGCATGGTGATAACCATTCCGGAATTTTAGACAGCCACCAAGTTCTCAACCTTCAGATTAGTTTTGATGACTAATCAGTAGAAAGGACTGAAGACATCATTACAGGGAAAAGCATCTCAACAGTAATTTTTCTCTCTCTAGTATCTACTTCTAGAGATAGGATCCATTCATTTCTTATTTGATTTTAACCAGTTGTAAAATGCCAGTACCTAGAAATTGTGTTGTGCTGAATATTTGAAGTTACCACTGATGGGTGATGGCTTTGCAAGGTCTTTCCTTGGGGCATTTTATCTGTTCAAGACATCTGGACAAGACTACAATCAAAGTACTTAATAGCCTGTTAACCATAGTGATTAATTGTGATAATGGAGGAACATCCAGTGTAACACCAGTTCTTTAAAACATACTGCTAGCAATGTGTCCACACTTCTTTTTAACCTGCAACTTTTGTTAACCTGAGTTGAGAACACAGTGTAGGTAGAGCATCTTTACTCTAAGCAGCTGGTCTCCTGCTGGTTAAGTCTTAGCTCATTTACTGCCTTTTACTTCCTTGTAGCTTAAAGCTCATAATGTGACTTCAGATATTCCAGGCAGGTAGAGAGAAGAATCTTCTTTTGAAGTAGGGCAAAAATTTACTCCAGATCCAAAGTGATGAGTTTGTGTTGAGCAATATAATAAGGGAACAAGGAAAAGCAGGGCAAGTACCTTGAACAATAAAACAGTATTAGTTAAAGCAGAGATCATAAATGGCTATCTAACCTATTTTACCAACAGCAAAATTTGCCTGCGGACAGAAAGAACCACTTACCACCTTTCAGGCTAGGAAGTGCTACTTAAAGAAAAGACATGGGCTGCATCTTCTTGTTTTGTGGATCAGTAAAGTTGTGTTATAGACAGGTGCATCTCAAGCTATCTGATCTGGGAGAATCATAGAATCATAGAGTTGGAAAAGAACATAAGAGCCATTCAGTCTAACCCCCCTGCCATGCAGGAACTCAAAATCAAAGCATCCCCGACAGATGGCCATCCAGCCTCTGTTTAAAGACCTCAAAGGAAGGAGACTCCAAGAATGTCAGTTCCCCTGCACACCTAGGTACAGAGTCCCAGGTACAGGTACCATTTTTGTATCCTATGGCTACAATTGTTTGTTTCATTCATGGAAACTTGCCAGCTGTCCACATCAGTTTCAGCAGCACTGTAATGGACTTTACAGAGCCTTAGCTGCTACTGTAGCTTTCTTATCAAGATAAAAGCTGAGCTGGGAGAGTCTGTGTCAGAGCAGTCATTTTCTTCAGCATCTAATTTAATTATTTTTTCATTCTCATACTTAACAACAACAACAACAACAATAATACCATTTATTTTTAATGCCCTTTCCACCAAAGGGTGGTACAACAGAACATATACAATAAAAAACCCTGCTGCAACTATGAACTGTATTATGTGAAGTAAATTCAATTGAAAGCTACAACTGTTGTGACTGTAAGCCAGGGGTAGGCAACCTTTCCCCTTGAAGGGCCAAGGGACTTTAGCTCCCAGAAGCCTCAGCCATGTTGGCCAATAGTCCCATATTGGCCAATAGCTCCTGGGATTCTGGGAGCTGAAGTCCCTCGGCCCTTAAAGGGGAAAGGTTGCCTACCCCTGCTGTAAGCAGTAACTGTTACTGTTCAAAGGGAAGTAGGTTTCATTTTAAATAGACAGTTAGACCCATTAGATTAAGAAAATATAGTCCTGACAGAGATGATAACTCCATCAGATGGATTTGGTTTGTTGAAATGGAAGACTACAGCTGCTTGTGTTTTTTAGCTCCCATTGATCTCATGGCTATGGGAATTGTTATGATTATCACCTACATTTCACAAATTACTATTACACCACTGTTCCCTATGTCCACTCAGTGTACTTAAGACTAAATTAAGGTCTGTGTAGCCAGAATTGTTTTCATTATTATCAAGTCACTGGTTTACAGTGAAAGAGTTTCCTAGTACCTGAAATTGGACAGAATGGCATTAGTATTGCCTGATTCCTCATGAACTCATTTTGGAACTTTGAGGGTTAGTGTTTGTGTTTAAATCTATTCCTAAGATCTTCCTTAAGTGTGGTTCAAGAAAAAAATTGTAAATAAATAATGTACCTTTCAACAGGTTTCCAGTGAGTGCTACAAGGGACTCCCCCAACACTAAATATATTTCTGAAGTTGTATTTTGCTGTGGCCAACAGACATTCAAATGAAAAAAAAATATTTGGACTCTGTTCTAGATTTTCAACCCAGTCTTTCTGGCACTTCTTAGTTTGGCATATGAACTTCTCCAGCTTTTCTTGCTTTCAAGCTGCATCCAAAAGACAGATGATATATTTTGTCATCTTAAATCTTATAAACCAGCTCTAGGAAGCATGTGAATGTTGTCCCCTGATAAAGTATTTTTGTATCTTAGTCATACATTTTTGCCTTTAACTCACATGAAAGGGAGTATTATTTGAGTGTTAATATTACATAGTTGCATTATTATTTTTCTGGGCTGTAGAACTAAATATTTGGAAGTGTTACAACTTTTTCCTCCAAAATATACTTAAACTGTGAGAGTACATAAAAGGTGTTGAACAAGAATAGATGCACCTCAGATGTGTCTTTGCTCTCTTCCTCACCCAAGTTTAAAATTGCTTTGTTGCTTTTTTTAATGCAAAAAATGCAATAAAAGACATTTGATGTTCTAAGGGAACCAGGTGTGTGCAGTCTAAAAGTAGCAAAGCTTTTTAATATTTCATTCTCTTCCCAAACAGGTTCATACCAAGTTCCACTGCAGGCAGGCACATGCTCCAGGCAGTGACACTTCATGCTTGACATTTTCCTATGATGGTTCAATTCTTGCTAGTCGGGGAGGTAAGTGACCACATTTCCTTCCATATATAGTGCTCGGTACAACTTGTGCTAACATTTATGCTGAACTCACAGAATAGAACTTAGGGCATTTACAATGGCAGAAATAATTCAGGTTGAGGCCACTTTAACTGTCCTGGCTCAGTGCTAGGGAATCATGACAACTGTAGTTTTTTCTGAGACCTTGAGCCTTCTCTGTCAGAGAGCTGTGGTGCCACAATAAACTACAGTTCCCATGTTTCCTTAGCACTGAACCAGGACAGTTAAAGTGGCCTCAAGCTGCATTATTTCTGGCAGTCTGCAAAGGCCCTTAGTACCAGCTCCAAATTTTGGTGTACTTAGGTAAGCCAAAAATCCATCTACTTTGTGAGTCAGTACTCATTACCACTGCTTGTTCTATTCCTTACCTTTGTCATTTCTGTTAAGGAAGGGAAGATAAACAGACAGCAACAAGGAAGAGGTAGTGGTTGTAGTCTAGGAAGGTCCAAGGTTCAACAGTGGCCCTCAACAGTTGTCTAGCTATGTCTCATCCTCTGATTCTGGCTCATATTGTCAGAAATGTACATATTATTTGAATCTCAGTACTTGTGCCTCATGTCAAGTTCTTTTTCATGTTTGCATTTAATTTAGTTTACTGGTATTTCTGGGTGATGGGAGTCCTGGGAAATGTCACCAGGGTATGAGCAAAATTGAACCTTGAGGCATGGCACCTGATGGCAGGCTGCCATTTTCAATAGTAATCCTGTGTTCTGAGAACACATACTTTGGCTGTAATGTAGAGCAGTGCCTATTGTTATTGTGTGCCTTCAAGTCATTTCTGACTAATGGCGACCCTCTCACGGGATTTTCCTGGCAAGATTTGTTCAGAAAGGGTTTGTCATTGCCTTCCTTTGAGGCTGAGAGTGTGACTTGCCCAAGTGAGTTTCCATGGCTGAGAAGGGATTCAAACCTTGGTCTCCAGAGTTCTAGTCCAGCATCCAAACCACTACACCACACTCGCTCTCTGTGTAGAACATTGCACTAGAATAATCACAGTGTAGAATAGTGTGTGTAGCTGGCACCTGTGTGACAAATCAGATTTCCATATAATGAAAAGATACGAACATACCCTCATAAAAAATTAACTGTTTGTCAGATTACAGGCATCTCTCAAAGTTTGCATTTGTAGTTTCTACATAGTTGTGACTCCTTTCTTTCCCCTCTGTTGATTTTGCTTTTCTTTTTTTGGTGCTATGCCTTTAACTGTCCCCAGAATGTCACAGGTAGCCAGGTGGCTGTTCATAAATAAATTAGTATCTAACCCACATGTCATACTTTCATATAAAATCACTTTGAAACTGGGTCTTTAGTGTTCAAATTGCAAAGCTGGTTTCACAACTACAGTATTTTAGGGATAGTACTGATGTGATCCTTACCCCAATTTTATGCATTTTAATATGTTCTAAAGAATAACCATTTGTGCTTCATATAATTTAAGTATTAATCTGGACCTTTACCAACAAAAGCAGATGTGTAGTTAACAGTCAGTCTTAGATTAGCACACCTGCCCAAATGCAAGGGATCAAAGAAGGGACCATATTTGAGGGAATAGGAACTTCCAGTGAAATCCTGATTGTCTCCCTTGGTCTTTTGTGCTGTTTGCTTGTCGGATATGAGAGAACTAAGACAGGGCTCAGCTGCAGGCCCATGAGAGAAGGAACAACAGACAAATGGCTTATGAATGTTCCCCGTTTCATTTCCATTGAGACTAAGCTTGGAACTTGACAGAAATGCAAGAAAGTGGTGTTTATTTCTACTTCTGACCCTGAAAATAATTCTTAAAAAGCATATCTAAATGTAATTTTTATAACAGTATTGAAGGTTATTCAGTTACACATAACTAACTTGATCGTAAAAATGGGACTGAATTAATTATGAGAGGTGTCCTGTGCTTCTGCTGACAAGGTGGAAATTTACGCAGTTAACTTCTCATGAAAATAAACAGTTGTGTCTAAATTAGCTTTTTGTATGTCAGCTGTGATGCAAGAAATTTTGTGTCCAGCTCTCACTCTGGTGCAAAAACATCTACAAGCACAAACCTCTCCAGACCATCCTACCTCTGAAAACAATTATTTTTTAAAACTAGGTGCAAACAGGTTTTATTAAATGCACTACAAAATGTACTCTCCCTCTAATGACCAGCACAAGTAGAATACTTAGTATGTATATCATCTTATGATAACGCGAATAATTAGTGGGGACACTGTGACCCTCTAGATGTTGAATCTTTGACCATACTGACTAATAGGAGGTGAATTTCAACAACATTTGGAAGTACAGGCTGTCCAACTCTGCCATACAACAACACTATGAAGTAAATGAGTATTCTCTGTGTATTACAGAAGGAAAGCTGAGGCAGAGACAGTTGTAGCTTGCCCAAGACCACTTGATAAGGTCATGGCAGAAGACTTCGTAAAAATTAGGAACCTCCTGATTTGTAGATCAGTCTTGCAGTCACAGGATTATATCTTAATTTTATGGATTTTTCCGTATAGAAACATATGAACATAAAAGCATGTGATACAATAAGACAATTGTCCATTTGTAGCAGTGGTGGACATACACACTACATCAGTCAAATTATGTCTCTGACTGGAGTAATTAGTGGTTGAAAAACCCACATTTTACAAGTTCTTGAGTTACATGGAACCATACATTAGATAAAATGAGTTCTGTGTAATGTCAGGCTAGCTTAGGTTATAAAATTGCTGATGTGGCTACTAATTAATTTCCTTTTTCACAGAGATGGTTTTGTGGTTTCACTTTACAGAATTAGTAGTTCCCAACTAAAACAATGGAATGTGTGCTAATCCTCTTAGAATGTTTTTTTGTCCCTTAGGCTGACTTCCAAAAATTTGGGACCTAAAGATAGATCTCAAAGAACTTATCTTGATACTTGGGATAACATAACACATTGTAACATAGCATACAGCGAGCCCTGCTAAATCAGACTAGAGTCCTATCTAATGCAACAGCCAGTGAGAAGCATATGGAGGCCTACTAACAGAGTATGAGATCAGTAGCTTACTCCTGTCTATGTTACTCAGTTATTGGTTTCATCTCTCCGAAGCTGTAAGAAATACAATCTTCGGGAGTAGTAAACACTGGTAGCCTTATTTCCCATGAATTTATCTAATTCTTTTAAAAAACTGTCCAAGTTGGCAGCTATCACCATATATATCTTCTGGTGCTGAATTATGTCATTTAACTATACATGTTCTTAATTTTGCTTGTCCAAATTTCCCACTTCTTAGCTTCATTAATGGGCCCAAGTTCTAGTTTTAAGAGAGCAGGATAAAAACTTCTCTTCTCTACTTTTTCCACAGTATGCAGTTTTCTGTTTCTCTGGCTTGTCCTGCTCATTTTAAACACCTAAACATTCTAACCTTTCCTCTTAGAAAGTTGTGCAATTTACACAATCAGCTTGGATGCCCTTTTCTGCATCTTTTCCACAGTTTTTCCATGCCTTTTTTTTTTAATGAAGTGTGAAAATAGATAAATGAAGAATAAAATGTAATTGCTAAAACATTGAGAAAGGTATATCAAGCAATCAGTGTAATATTAAGAAATATTGTTCCTAGTCCTTTAATCATAGCTAAGACAGAGAATCGTGCACTCACTCCCTTCAATTGCTTGTCTCTTGTTTCCAAATTCCCACTACCTTGTTTCTTTGGTTATGCATTACATTGCTATCAACTATAATAGTAATTGGCTTACACTTTGTAAACCACTTAGGGAGTGCTTAAGTGCACTGATAAGCAGTGTAGAAATGTACTTACTATAATGAATAATAGCATTTGTTATGGATATGAAAAAACAGCATCAAAATCTAGCTAAGAGAATTATTTGTTGTTGCAGTTGTTGTTGTTTATATCCCGCTTTCCTCCCAGTATAGGGACTCAAGGCAGCTTGAGAATATTACGGTTAGTATTAGGCATGGTGATATAGATGTAACCCTAACTGTGTTTAAGGCTAGCAGGGGAATGAAGTACTGTATATGAGAAGGGGAAGACACAAAGAAGGGAGCATTTGGTCCCACAGTCATGGGTAAAGGGCTACCACACTGTAACATGGCTTCTCAGGACAACTTACCTATCTCCAATCCTTTCAGCTGCATAAAAGGCTTCAGTAGGGTTCTTGACTGCATTGGTGTCCTCAAGAAGTGGAAATATAGGGCACCAGTTCAATAGCCAGTTGCCATACACAAACACACTTTATTTCTTACCCATCTAATAGCCCTTTTTTCTTATTGTTCAAAACCCTAATATAATAATGTACTTTCTGTTGTCATTTTTCACTCCGAGCTCCAGTTCACCCATTTGCGTCGGTATCAAATGTTTAGCTTTGGTTAATGGTTTTTTGAAGGCATGATAATGTATTGTTTTCAAAGTTTTTTTATTACTTTAATTGTATCGTTTAAAATATTTTTATTTTATTGAGAATATAATTGCATTTTAATGTTAACCTTTTGTTTATACCTATATTCAGTTTAATACCAGTTTGGGCAAAAAATCAATATGAATAAAGTTATTGCTACTACTACTAACATCTTGTAGTGGTAAGAAAATACTCTAGTTTACAATCCCTTTTGAAATTACTTTTCCTACTGAAATCAATATGGATGAGTTGGAGGAGCATGCTAATTGTCCATGCTTAATGTCCATATATTTTCCTAAGTGAAATGGTTCCTGAAACTTGTCTCCATTTCTCACTTTAATGTCTTGACAACCAAGGTGGTATACACAGGATTACAAGGCAGTCTTCCCTCCAGGTGTTCACTGGACTGAGACCAACTTAACCTCAGTAAAGTAGTTGTGTCATGCCTTCAGACCATTACTTTGGCCTATAGCCTGATGTGATGCAGTACAAAGAAGCTTTTCTTAACATATTTTTTAAACATTAGTAACAGCCATCTGACTGAATTTCTCTCTCCTCTATCCCATAAATCCTCCAGGGAGTTGATCATGTCAAGGCCTAGTCCATCAAGGCCAAAGAAGCCTTGATTGAGATTTGTTACTGTGAAAGATATTTGAAGACTTGCCAGATACATTTCTTGTTCTACATAAATTGTAGAAACTGAATTACTTAGCTTTTAGGGCAAAGTGTTAGAGAGTTTAGAAATCCTAACTTGTAGAGAGTTACCGTATTTTTCGCCATATAAGACGCTCCGGCATATAAGACG